GTAGGTCCGAGCCCAGAAGACGAGAGCAAGCCTGACAGAACGCTAACGCGGATATGTTCAGCACGGACGCACACAGCAATGTGCTGGCAGCGCTCTCAGTAGCGGCCAACGCGAACTCCGGTAGAGATCGGAGCAGACACCAGGATGACCTATACTCGCGAATGACGGCGACGTCGCCGGTCTTTGGTGCCGAGCGCGGTCGGTCTGTCAGGTTCTGTCAAGAACCGGCGTATTGTTGTTCTGAGTACGCGCCTTATTTATTCAACTAATCTGTCTAGGACGACAGATGCGCGAGCGGGCGTTGATGAGGCATGTGCGATTTCGGGCGAGCATGGTTGGCGGTGACTAGATAGACGCATGCGGAGTGAACGTGTGGGTCTGCAGATGCGTTTTGACATTGAGGCTAATAGATGTCGTCCTGACGATGGGTTTCACTCCATGGCGTCGTCCCGGAGGCGCACCAAATGTTGGGTTGCCGCCCAATGCAGGGAACTGACGAGATAAGACAGGTTCGTACTGGACGACGGAAGATCTGGCTGATCACACACACCAATATGCAGGAACTGTCATACAGCACCTCGCTCGTTAGCCGGCAGATACACTGCCCTCCATGTGCTGTGGCGTTGCCTCGCAAACCATATGTTCACCCATCGCGCCGGCGCGGCTAATCAGGCCCATCTGTAAACTGGCAACCCACGTCCATTCTCAGACACTTGACCTCCGCGCGCCTTCCGTGCTATCTTCGTCGCGGCCATGACCGGACCCACGCCATGTATGTCGCCCCGCAAACGCCTCGCGACAGCGCTCTCTGGCCTATGGAGGCGACCAGCCGCTCCGAGGCATGCCCGAGAAGGTTGCGGCTTCCCATCTGCTGCCACCAGGAGATCACGATCATGAAAGTGGAGCCGTCAGGGCGAACAACGCACGGGCAGACGCTTCCACGCAGGGAAGAGTGAACATCAGGCAGACCTTCTCCATGCGTTTCTTTGACAGTTCCAGTCGTTGGACGTTGATATAGTACAGGCGTCAATGTCAATGTCTTGACCGCTGACTGTCTCTTTGGAGCTGATACTTGGACCGAGTTGCCCGCTGAGTATAGCATGATCATCTGCAGAGGTTGTATATGTCAACCGGATTCTAGTACTGACGGCCAGACATCCAACGATTGGTTTGACAGTGCTTCCCATTGGTGCCACCGCTCGACTGAAATATGACGTCTGCAAACTGCTCGGCACGTTGGCAAGGGCTTGTGATCTGGGGACATCATGGGAGGAAGGTGCGAGACAGGCGCTGACAAAGCCGGAAATTTACAGCGGTGACCCTGACGGAAGCCTCTGCATGTCATCGGCGTCCACCAGATGAGCCCCATACGAAACGGTGAAATGGTCACCTATGGCGTGGTCTGCATCGGCGGTTGAAGCCGGTGGCCAGCATTTGGCTAGTATCGGCCGCTTTCAATATGAAGCGCGGCGCGGCGCGTCGTCTATGTTGCTATCGATTGTGGTGGGGAACAGAGCCTTAGCGGAATGGAATGCACACGACACTGATACGACGATATGCCGCGGGGTGACCGTTGAATTGCACTACATGACGGCGAAGTGTATTCAAGTGGAGACGGTCGGTACGTCCCATCAGTAATTGGCTATAATCTTATAAGGGCTTTCCGGTCCGAGAAGTATACAGCCTATTGTACGAGAACAGGTAGATCAGCAAATCAGATGCGTTCAGCATCATGGATGCTGAGAAGGTGGATGACGTACAGTCCTGTACATGCGCACTCCGCCTGACTTGCGAACACGGTCTTATCAGTTGTGCGAGTACGTAGCCCCATTCTATTGGATCAAGGAATGCCTTGTGTGCGCCGTAAGAGACGACCCCACATCCATGAAGACAAGGAAGATGTAATCATACACTGGGTCACTCGACCGTAGCGAGGCACGCTTCGGCTTTCTTTTTCCGCTTCTTCCCCGTGCTGTCCGTAACATCTGACGCGGCGTCGCTGTCGCGATGCCGCTTCTTTGTGCTGGACTTTAGTTTGCTGGGGAGCTGCGGCGCATCAACACCAGCAGGCTTCATGAATCCCGTCGACGGTGTCTTCACAGCGGTAGCCGCAGACGGTGGTGCCGATGGGAGCGAGACAGCGGGTGCCTCGTGTATGAGCTGTTGCGCCGTCTTTGTTCTGACTTTCTTGCCGTCTTTTGTCTTTGTAGGCAAAGGTGCTCGGAACCCAGAGATGGACGTAGGGCGACCCTTGCCTTTGAGCGCATTGGAGAAGGCCTTGGCCTCCTCTACGAGCTCTTGTAGTTCGTCGTCAGGCTCCTGCGTGCGCGGTCAGAGGCATGACAGGTGGCGGGAAATGTGTCAGCTTTGCGAGAATGGGTTCATGCACGGACCTCTTTCCGCAGGACCTCTTGTCCGCGATCATTGAATTTCCTCCGCCCCCTCACAAGTCTTGAGGGACCCGCCTCCTCTTCGCCTTCCTCAGCCTCATCTTCTCCAAATATGAACGGTATGTACGACGCCTCGTGTGTGACAGATTGTGCGCTGCAGGCCTTGCTCAGCACAACTTTGTTTGCATAAGATGCGCTCACGCACCTAGCTTGAGCTCTAGGGGACGAAACAGTGCTTGATTCGATGCCCCATGCCTCCCGGACCTCCTGCGATACCGACCACTCCGCGTCATCCTTGATCTTGGCTTGTTCGGCTTCTACTTGGGCCTGTAGCTTTGCCCGCTGCGCGTTCTGCATGAACCGCAGGCCCAGCGTGCTTTTGCTGATGTTCTTGGCCGACATCTTGAGAATTGAATGTGACGCGCTCGTCGTTCGAGTGCCCTTCCTTAGCGTATGGTGGTTGATCGAACAGTACGAAGCGTTTAACATATTGCAACATATTGTGGCGAATTTAGACGCTCAATGGATGCAACAGGCGCTTGTCAATGGGAGTTGCAACTGTCGCACTCTTACTTAACTATCACTGCATGAACTCATCAAAATCCTGATTTGTTTTTGTTTGAGACAGATAGTATAGGGTCCTGCGCACCTCTTGCAGACAATCTCAGAATTTAATAAGGGAAGGGAGTCAATAGAGAAAGCTGCCGCGAGAGCGACTCTGGTCGGTGGCTTAAGCGTGTAGAGATGCAACGATCGTCACAGAGCGTCACATCGGCATGTTCAACCTCCGACACGGCAGACCAAATTAAGTAAGTGTCGCCGTCTCTGAATGAACTTGTGCGAACTGTTGAACGCCGCACCAAGAGCATCTGAGTGGAACAGTAGCCCCTTCCGTCGTTCTTGTGTTTCCAACGACCTGCAAGCGGCTTTGACCCGGTCTTCGAGATGGGGATCGTGAGCGAAGTCGGGTTTGCGGTAAGCCTTTGCACCTCGCCGCGGCATGCAATAAATGAAGAAAAATGAATATTATTTGGGGAGGATTAAGTCTGAGCTGTGAGAGCAGAGGACACGATTATTACTGTAGGTGCATGGACGTGTCGTGAAGGCGTGAACAGTCGCAACTCACGACCGTTGCGCGACAGCCACCAGCGCGTTCAGCGGAGATTGGAATTTGTCACGCATCGGTGGCAGGGTTTTGCGACAAGGCTTGTTACTCAAAAATCATGACAATGCAGGAGCACGCTGACAATCAGGGGTGTCCATGCGGTTGTTGAACTTCTACTATTTCATGTGTTATCTAATCAGGCTCTCCTGATAAGGATTTATCTTATGTTCTGCTACGCTACTATACGTAGATTACATTCTTTTAGATAGTTGATTATACCGAGTTCCATTCGGCATTCCACTCGGTATCCATTTGGTACTCCATTCGGTATTGGAACTCCGCTCCCTTGTCATATGATATTGACGGTTATCTATAGTTCCGTTTACCGTCTTACTAACACTTACTCATGAAGCTTACGATGATGACTCACGACTCAGGCCTCATCTGATAGGCATACTGTACGATCAGATAATGCCTTCCTCTCATGTATATATACTGGGCTCAAATGCCCTCTAATGCAATTGTTCCTTCATCTGCTTTCCTGTGTGCCTAACAGGACTCCCTCAGCAGTTCCCTCATAGGTTCGTTTCGCTGCCTTTACAGCCACTACAATTTCACTCCTTTCAACAGCGGTAGCATATGGCATGTAGATGTGTTTTCCATGTAATTTGAGTATCAGGGAACACGGCCACAGCACAAGATCTGTGATGTTTCATCTTGGGCAATGCTGCCACAGGCATTCATCGATTTTTCATTCTTTGGCTACTGCGCTGTTCGATAAATCCCGTTGTGTGTGTTGAACTTCTACCATTTCAGGCGTTATCTTATCAGGCTTGCCTGGTATGGACTTGTATTATGTTCTGCAACGCTACGTACCGTATTGTACGCTTACTCTCTTTCGCTCTTTATCTTATCTATAGGACTCGATTATCTCTTGTCCTATCTCAGTAGATTAGATACCGGACATCCGGGCCTCCGCTCCTTAAGCATATGATATTACCGGTTACCTGGAGTTCCGGATTCCGTCTTACTAACGATGACTCACGTAGATTACGCTTATGACTCATCATGACTCGACCATCAGGTGATGGTCTCACACATGTATATATACTGGGCTGGATACGCCCTCTAATGTATCGTTCCTTCCTCTGCTTTCCTGTGTGCCTAACAGGACTCCCTCAGCAGTTCCCTCAGAGGTTCGTTCTCCTGCCTTTACAGCCACTTCAATTTCACTCCTTCAACAGTGTGTACCATGATTTAGAGCTTAGAAATGCTCTGTAAAAATCTCAGGGAGAATAGACGGGTAGTGAGGTCCCGAGTCTCCATTTTTGCAACTCCCCTTTCGGGATAGTAGTCCATTCCGCTGAAAAAGTGCATCAGACTGAGACCGCTTGCATAACTCTAGCAGCGAGTTTTGATATGGGACACAAGGCTAACGACATGTAGATGACCTAATAAGTTGGTCCCAGGGGCGGAATTATAGTGCACCGCAACGCCTAGCTGTTGCGCTCGTCGTCTAATGGTTATGATGTCAGATTCCTAATGTAGTTTATTCTTGATTAGTCATCATCTGAAGGATGTGAGTTCGAGTCTCACTGGGCGCTGTTTATTTATTTTTAATACCTGTGGGCCCTTATCATTCTTCCGAACAATATCGGTGTCGTTTGTACCATACTCTTGAAGCTTTAGTCCCTTCTGTAGTTCCTGCCAACGTGCATACTTCGTGAGTCAAGATAGGTGCAACTCGGTGGATGCAAGAGCTGATACCTTCGTGTCGAGTATGACTTCAGCTGAGACAGCAAATCTAGTGCAGTATCTCATTCCGGGGACGGACGAGGCATTTTATATTCCAGATGCCATAACTCCAGAAGAAGAGGAGCTGCTGATGCGCAAGGTCACATGTCTACATTCAGGGCGACCATCTGTTTGGTAGAATGCTGATTACACCCCTATAGATCCAAGAGTCTCCGTTGCCGAAATGGAAACAGCTAACTAACCGGAGGCGAGTTTACCAAACACAGACGCAGTAAAGAGCAGGTCTCAGACTTACCGAGGCTCAAAGGCTGCAAATATGGGGTCAGATCTGACTCTGCTTATCGTCCGTCGGGGCGTTCACGTTATTCTAGGAGGTACCATGTCCGCCAAGGGTGTACTCATACCTGAAGAGATGCCCTTGTTTGTTAGAACATAGTAAGTATGCATTGCCCAGCTATTTCCAGGATGCTTTAACGACACGCAAATGTAAGCCCGGATGTTATCGGCAGCATCAAGGCTACGGGCGCGTTTACCTCTTCGCCGCACGGGAAGCCGAACCATATCATCATGAACGAAGTGAGTCGCCCGTTCTGCACCATGCGATCCGTACTTACGACTCACAGTATCTCCCAGGCCAAGGCATCATGGTCTGTCGCCTCCTTCAGGCTGCCGAATCAGACCCTTCCTCACACCAGCGCAGCCACACGAGGATGGCCCCGCGTACCATCCTGTCGTTGCGACGCTCTCGCTAGGCTCTCATGCTGTGTTCCACTACTACCGCTACGCGCCGCCGCACGACTCGGACTTGGAGACCACCATTTCCCCCGATGCCCCCGTGTCCAGCCGCGGCCGCGCAATCGACCCCGCCCCTGTTCTCTCCGTGCTCCTCGAGCCGCGCAGCCTCATCATTACGCGCTCCACGCTCTACCAGGCATACCTACACGGCATCGACGGGGTGCATACGGATGTCTTCCCTGCACCCACGGAAGAGAGTGGCGCTGTGCGTATGGCGAACGCGGATCTGCTCGCGGACGAGGTCATACGGGACGTCGTCAAGAATGGAGGACGGCTCGCGCGGGGCCCGCGGTACAGCCTGACATGCAGGGACGTTGCGCGTGTCGCTACTCTGCCATCGCTGAAGCGGTAGCAGTGCAATGCGTACTAGTATCGCGAGTTTCCGAATGGCCGACCGATTGTCATGTAGAGTAAGGTTGAATATAGAAGGCGTCCCCGTTGACCTGTATTGCGCGGGTTCTGTTGAACTTTTGCATGTGCTTGTATCTATGATACTTGCCATGGCAAATGCTTCCCGTTCTCAAGCTCAAGGATGGACAGCTCCGGAGCGTGCCTTCTGTTTGGCGCGGACGACTAGAAGCACGCCCCGTCCGAAGCTTGAGCCTCTTCGGAGGGTTCGTGGCGCAGGGAAGCATGGAGGTGGCCTGCTGGCCGCTGTACGATGTCGCGTCTCAGGATGTCCAAGTCTTGAATATTATGCGCAGTGCTTCGAGGGTTAGGGCTATTGAACAATCTGAGCTTGGACAGTCGGTAGCATCATGCGACCAACGACATTATTCGCAACTAGAGCTACGCGGGAGAAACTGCACTCGCGATATGACTACCTTTTTGCGCCCAACTTTCACAGCACATACTTACACGACTCCCAACCCAGCCTTCAGCTCCGCCTCCAAATCGGCCATGACCCCCGCCCCCTCGCCACGTGCATCCTCGTCACCCAGCCCTTTCTCTGCAGTCTCCTCCACCTCCCTAACGCACCGGGCGCACTCGCACGGGCCGAAACCCCACTCAAGCAAGCGCTGCCGACGCTGCGCGACAGGCAAGCTCGGGTCGACGTACGTGATGGTGAGCTCCTCGCCGCGCGGGACTGCGCGCTTGGCGAGCACGGTGATGCGCGCGAGCGCGGACCGTTGGTCGAGGTGCCGCACAGAGAGGTTTGGCTCGCAGGAGTGGTTCAGGTGCGAGTGCAGGACGTACAGCCCACCGTGTGCCTCCAGGTCTGCGGTGCAGTCGTGAGTAGTGCAGGTAGGAAGGCGAGAGTGTGACGCACTGAGACTCATGCGCCCGAGGCCGAGCAGGAACGCATCGTACGTCAAGAGCGCATCGGCAATCTCTGGCTTTATGGGTTTCTTGAGGATGCGAGCTAGCCGCTTTTTATCGCGGTCCGTCGTGGGCTCGCGGAATGCGTGTATGTAGAGTTCGAATGCTTTCTTCCATGTCGCCCTGTCCGGCTCTGCGCCGTTCAGCCTTAGCGACGAGTGAGTGAGGTGCAGTGGACCATGCAGACATATGCTACTTACCAGCCACCCTTAGCGCGCTGCTCCATACCAAGCTGCGCCATTGCGCGGAGGAACCGCCAGTCTTCCTCTGCCTGTGCATAGTCTCGCTGGTACGCGAGCAGGATGCGCGACGTACACTGAGCGAGTGCGTGTAGTGCCATCCACTCGCTGTGCCGCGTGAATTTAATGAGGCCGACGGAAGCGGGATTGCTGTCTGGGCACAGCAAAGGGTGTACCCGTGCAGATCGCGATAGGCACAGTCGGTTACAAAAGCGCGCGGTGCAAGATGATGGTGAAGTTAGGGAAGACGAGGAGGCGCAAGAGAAAACGAGGGTCGAGGTTGGGTTGAGCGGGGTGCTGCAGAAAGCGCAAGCTAGCCCTGAGACCTGCAAGTCATATATGTCCCTGACCGGATGTTAATAGGTGCACCCCAGCATCATAGCGCGACGCGCACCATTCAGGCGCGAGAGCGAACGGCTCCTCCTTCCATACGACCTCCCCCTCAGCGATGTCTTCGCTCGCTACCAACCCCTTGCCCTTCTTCCTCCCAAAGTCCCTCACCTCCGCCTTCGGTGTCCACTTCCGAATGTCCAGTCCCTCCACTAGCTGTGACTTCGGATGGTTATCATCTGTTCCGTTTATCGCGGGCGGCTCGGGGCCCTGGTTTTGTGTGGATACGAGGATGAGCCCTTCCTGCTGGAGGATCTTGCGGGTGCGTTTCTCACTGACGATCCAATCGGTATGCTGGCTCAGCAGCTGCGCGTGTAACTTGGCGGCGCCGAGGCTAGGAAAAGCTTTGCGGAGGGCATGGAGGGTAGACTTGAGGTCGTCATCTGAGGGGGAAGTAGACATGGATGTGAGCTACTTCCGACCGCGAGATGCGATCTCGCAGAAGTAATGCCATTTTTCACACACGAAGGCGATATACATAACATGTCTGATCAGTGATAAGTGATTGTGGCACGTTCAAACGTTCACCAGTACTGCAGTGCTAAGAACTGAATCTACTACTCGAGGCGAGTGCGAGAGGACCATTGGAAGCTGCTTGTATTAACCAGGGCACGCATACAGGTACTCAACACAAGCAAGGCGATGTGAGGCATCTCGTAAGGTCGATCGAACGTAGAAAGCGAAGAACGGCCGAAATAAATGCTACTAGCTGATTTGATATCCCCTTTATTAGCGACTCTCGACTCGATGGAAGTGAGTTCGAGTCGAGAGTGTACTGCGAGGGTGCGCGGATTGGCGAATCACGAAGGATGGCGCAAAGTGTCGGCATTCAGTTTCATCGCAGAGGAAGCGGACAAAACTGGGGCTAGAATTCTCAGGAATAATCAAGGCGGCAGCGAGAGGCAATGCGCAGGCAGGAAAGCGTCGAACAAGATTGGTGAAGTCAACTAAGGAGGACAAGGATAGGGAGAACAAATGTGGCGGAGAAAAGTGGACAGTTCAGGGCCGGGCGACGCGCGTTGGCGCCAACGACGCGATGCTACACGTAGCCACGTGGCCGCATAAGCGGGCAGGCACTACGTACAGCGCATCCTTGGCTCTTGCTCTGTGCTACGTAGCCAACCGCCATGCCCTCCGGCGACGCCCAGCACTCCCTCCGCCTCCGCCGCAAGGCCTCGCAGGACACCGACGCAACCTCGACCCCGCATGATGAGGTGCGCCCCCGCAAGACCGAGGAGGTCGTCTGGGGCAAGACGCCAGGTGGCGAAGGTGGGTCAGCGTTGCCAGTGATCATGGCTCATCATACTCACATCCACTCGGCTTTGTGTAGTATTCAGGGTGCCTACGACACACGACGTCCTGACCACGCTCTTCCACCCCGCATACCCAAAATCGCACCTGGATTTGCTAAACCTCGGCCTGCTTGGCCTGCAGCTCGTGCTCTTCTTTGTTCTGCCCCGACACATCTCAAGACCTTTCTTCTTCGTCTACTTCGCGTTCTGGCGTGCCGCATATGATCTCGGTCTTGGCTGGGTGCTCACGAAGCAGAGCAAACGCAAATGGATTGTCCGCGAAGTACAGCGTCTCGGCTGGCTCGACGAGAAGCGCAGGCCTGCCGTGCGCGACTGGGTCAGACAACAGCTCGTGGGCAAGATGGGCAAGGATTATTCGTTTGATGTGCGTCCGGTGCCCTCCCCGTCACACGACCATCTCTGAAGGTGCCTGTATTACAGGAACTTCCGCTGCAGTACAATACGTGGCTGCTATTCCGCCAGTTGGTGGACATCATCTTGGTCAAGTGAGTTCTTTTCCCGCTCAGCTTCGGCACGGCGCCCCCTCCTGTTCCAAGCTTGCCTCTATAAGTGGTGCCGGTGTGTATTTCCAAAGCATGGAAGCGGACGGCGCTCCGGTCCAGTACGCTTCACGTTGTGTTAGGGTTCGATGGCTGAAGGTTTGTCTTCGGACTGTGCGCCATATATGTAGTGACGGAGGTCAATATTGACCCCATTGACCGATGACTGGGGTCAATGATATGACCCCAGTCAAACCCTGGTTTGACTGTTCTTTAACCGTGGTCCTGGTCTCGTAGATGCAGTGTCGAGAGG